GAAAGTTTTTGTTACATTCCTCCAGTACAATGGGGAAGAAGCTGACAAAGGTGACGTGACTTGAACCCTTCGCAAAATAAAATAATCCTCTGAAATGCTTTGTTCAGTGTCACGTTGCTATTTTGAAATGAGAATTATCATATAAAGGGAACTACTATAATTATGCATTTAACAGACTTAATTGCATTAGGGATGATACCTCTGGCAGTCTATCAGGTAATTAGATTCCTTTGTGTTAAAAGCTCTAAAGATTTTTCAGAAAAGTTCCAATATACAGTACTTGAACCTGGAGCCAAACAAATTCTTTTGCTAAACAACAACTCCTAAACAGACAAAAATTAAGACTGTTGCCACACTAAGGCTCTTGGTAAAAGAAGATGATATTTTGATGATCCTCAGCTGCATTTAGAATAAATAACCAATCATCAAGTAGCTGAAGCAGGTATTGACAATGATTAATAACTAGTAGCAAAGAAGCACCAAACTTGTATTTATCCTGACCACTCTGAGCAAAGATAGAGCACGTAAAAGGTTTTCTAACACTATAGTTGCTATGAAAAATATGACAATCAATGGTTTACATTTAGATTACAATCTGACACTTGTAAAGGTAATCTATGATATTTTTGCACTAAATTATGTGCATAGCCATGAAGTCTAGCATTTTGTCAGGCAGCCCTTCTGCTGCTGTCTGCCACACAGCAATAGCATGTAACAGAATAATAGTGGGAAAGTTCAACGTGTACAGCCATACCACCAACATCCACCTCCGACATTACGAGCCAAAATAATTAAATAAGAAGCATTACTTTCAGAGCAGTCCTCATGTTTATCAGTAGTTTGTGGTTCAAAGATACTAAGAAATAAGTTAGTAGACAACTGAAACTCTTAGCAAGCATGATCTGTCTGAGGCATGACACAAAGGTATCCATTTTAACAGGGTGTCAGTTCCAATAGCTCTGTTCGAACACTCTTATGGAAAAAAGAAACAGAGACACCACCATTATTTACACTCTAAAATTAACTGTAGAGTGCAAACTCTGTTAGAACTATTACAACATTGATGAAAATTCTAATAGTTAAATAATAACTTCTCTGATCACATTCCTTTCAGTTCACTACTAATTAAGCTAAGTTTCTTCTCTGTTAGTAAAGCTGGTAGTATATTAATATTTATAGCTTAGCAAGCAGCATAAAACTAATGATTGTTTGCAGAGCAAGGGACACACAAACATTAAAATACATCTAGTTTTCCTAAACAATAATTGGTATATAAAAAGATTTTTAAGTAAGAATACTCAAGGTGGATGGGAATATATACATTATGAAAGTCTGCATAACATCTGGGAGGGTTTATTTCCTTCCAACTTTTAAAGTCGTGGATCCTTCCAATATTTTCTTAAGGACCAAAGTACCCACAGCAGATGAAGACAAATTTAGAGATAGCGTAACCTACTTGGAGATGCATACATTTATGGAACTACACGAGACGCATCTGTAGGTTGCTGAAGAGTGTGGCTTGATGCCACTGCAGGACAGCTACCATTTTTTGCAAGGCCATGGAAATCAGAGGAGGATCTCATAATAGGATTTTGACCACACAAAGCAAATGGAGAAGAAAAAGGGGTAAAAGGCAAACCCCAGTAAGCACAGATCTGTTAGCCATATCAGTTCTGGGCAAGGCGCAAATGTGCAAACAGTGCAAATGCACTTAGATGCCCTTTCTAGAGGCATGGACTACAAGGTAGATTTTACATAGCAGTCAGCATGGGTTTACCAAGGCAAATCAAACTTGATCAAACTCACCACTTGTTAGGATTAATCTGATAGGCTCCGTGGACAAAGTGAGGGAAGTGGATGTAGGATACCCTGAATTTGTAAGGCTCTTAGCAAAGTATTGGTTAGACTATGTCTGGTCTGAATACTTCGTCCAGCTCCAGACTCCACAATAAAATATACTGACAGACAAGAATGTCCAGTACAGAACACCAGGATAGGTGTGGGAACATGGAACATAAAGCATACATGGAGAGACTGCAACAGTTGGGCTTGTTCTCCACAATGATGAAAGGTTACCCTATTCCTGTCTATAACTGCCTGACCACAGGATACAAAGAGGACAGTGGCACGCTTTTCTCAGAAGTACACAGCAATAAGTTGGTTGGCATTGGAAAACACGTTGGAGCATGGGAAAAAATACGAGGTCATTTCGATAAATTTCCTTATTTTTACCACTAGTACCGTCAAATATTAGATCAGACTGCCCAGAAATGTTACAGAATTTCCATTACTTAAAGTGTTCAAGACTCAGCTGGACAAGTCCTGAGCAATTTGATCTACCCAGACCTACTTTGATCAGGGGGTTATACTAGATGATCTCCAGAGATCTGCTCCAACAGAACTTGTTATGTGACTCTACAAGAATGAAGAATCTCTAAAAACAGATTTAAACAAAAAAAAAGTCCTTAGAGAATCCACATTACCAATCTGTGATTTATTTTCTCTTCTTCATTTGTGTATGTGTGGGTTTGTTTTTCCCTCCCTTGTCAGTACACCGAAGATTAGTTTGTGCTTAAGCTAAAACTGAAATTCGTTATTAAATAAAACATTCCTCTGTGCAAACATAATGAAAAGCTCATCATGACTTTCCAGCTATGAGCGCAAACAGTGTACTTAGCCAAATGGTAATTGTATTGGTCTTCCTTCTACTCCAATACTGCTTTGAAACTTGTATCTCTCAAATGAATAATTACCTACAAAATAATTAAATGTTGCTGATATGGTCTACTCGTCCCACTTGTACATGGAAACAGCAAAGTCTGTCTTCCCTGAAATCTATCTCCGTCATGTTGGATAAGCTTACTGCCCATCACAGGGCTGGCATCGATCCCTACTCAATTACAGATGAACATAACACCATATTAGAAGACAAATAAGGTTTAATTTTAATCACAGTCAGCCTGTAAGACCATGTTCCATTATAGATTAAAAGAACCAATTATTTTTAAAAGTAAAGATTTAATGAAAGGCCTTATTAATATATAGACAGATACACTGCTCCCCTTGCATTCTAAGTTGGAGTGCAGTAATAGTTGAAAGAGTTACAAGCAAACCAAGCAAGACATAGTGATGCTTCTAGTGAATTGTTTTCCTTTCAAATCACAATGACACTTTCTCAGAAGGGTTTCATCTATAAGATTTTTTTCCCCCCACAAGTGTGAAGTAGCAAACCATTTATAAACAACAAATTAACTCAATGGCCAGAGTTTTACTGTTACTAAGAGAAAGTAAATGCAAAATAATTACATTGAAGCAAACAGACATTCCACACCAATGACATCAAATGCTGCTGATATCAATTTATCCCAGATTTAGAAAGGTAGGTAGGAGTGTAATTTTCATCTGAATTCAATGGGACATAAGCATCTACTCATCTTCAAATCTGGATGTTATAGTTCTCCATCTCTAATAACAGGAATTGTCTTCCATAATTAACTTAAGAAACCGGGTAATCACAATTCATACTTTTTTGCTATTCATGCTTTAGTGTGAATCAATCTTTCTTCTTTACTGAGTTATTACAAAGTTTGTCAGAGTGTGAAATAAAAAAAAGTTCCCATGGAATGCTGTTGACGTAACCTCTGAGAAGGTAATGAGATAAACATGCATTTACGATAGAAAAATGGATAAACTCACTGGATAATCAGACAGTGCTGTTGAGTAGTGCTACAAATGTAATGTAATTCTTCTTGTGCTGCAAATGTATGAGAAACAACACATAAGATACCATCTCACTTTTTAAAACCAATTTTCACATATCATGGTTTTGCTCAGGAACTTTAAGTATATTGTTTAATAAAAAATGCTTGGGGGAAAAAAAGAAAGTACAGGTATCAAAAGCACAGAGGATATTTCTGATGGCTACACAAAAGACTTGGGAAGCTTTTGCATCTACTGTCCTTCTTAGTTTTGTATTGCTAAAATCATTTTGTTTATCTCCTTGCTGGTCTTTGAAGGAAAAAAATCTCAAGCTTCTTCATACATTTAAAAATATTCAAAGAGAATATAGGAAAACAGCAACTAGTGCTACAATAGAAAACAGCAACCCACAATGAAGCCTCCACACACAGAGTCAGATCAAGAAGAAAGCTTTCATGTTCTCATAGAAATACATGCACGGAATTAAGAGAAACCAGTAACAGAATTTACCAGGTTTAGAGATTTTTTTAAATGTACTTTTGAACACATTTGACTTTTTTAAGCAAATCACTAAGTTCCCCCAACACATTCTGCAGTTCTTTGTCTTCATTTCATATTTTTCACTTACGTTTAAGGACTAATAAGACCTAGTTAAATCACTGCACATCAAGTAGATAAAAACAAGATAAAATATCGCATACAAACCGTCAGTTGTTAACACATTCGTCATTAGTAAGAGGTGGATATTAAGAAAACCAAACTAGAACAGCACAAAACTGCATTTCTTTTTCTTTTCTAATGTGTAATCAGTTTTCACTAAATACTTAAAATACGCAAAAGTATAAATCATTCTTTTCCTGAGGTAATATGAAATTAAGACCTAGATTATTGAAACAACTATAATTTTGAGATTAGCACAATTGTTTTAATAAACTAGATTTCAGGAATACAGAAAAGATTTATTACTTTAAAAACTTTCTTTAGGACAATACCAGAAAAACAAACAAACAAACAAAAAAACCCAGAATCCTTAAAATCTCAAACACTTAGTAAAAATAAGCAGGTTTTCTGAGCATCATTTTGACATTAATTGACTCATTCTGGCTGCATAATCATAGCCCCAAGAAGAGATGCAATAAAATATAAATTTAATCAAATACATTTTTAAAACAGGCTTCAAGCTAGCGCGTGTATAAATTTGACCCAAATATCTAGTCATGAGTATAACATCAGACCTTTAATTATAATTTCTTCTACAATTGCTCTATTCAAGAGAATTTAGCCAGTGCACTTACCTGCAATTATGCACATACAGTTGGTGGAAAAAGTAGATCAAGACTCTTCTGTGAATCGTCACCTGCTGAGCTAATTCACCCAACTGGTTTAATTTCTTCTGCCCTCAGTCTGTCTTCACAGTGATTATATCTAAATGAAAAGACAAGGAAACACCAAAATGGAAAAAAACAGTGGATTTGTTCTTTACATTGCAATATGACTTCTTTTCTTGAACAATCAGAAAGTTAGGGCCACACAACGCATATAAGAAAAATCATGTGTTTTGTACACTTTCTGATAACATACCTAACTGTTGTAATACATGTCGTCTCTGAGTCTCATTGCAATGCTCACCCTATGTTCTGTGATAGGTGCCCTGTATTCTACATCTAACCTATCATGGCTCATAAACTCTTAAAAGAATGTATTTTCTTGGATATCTACTGTAACACTGTAGACTGTTCTTTGGACCTAAAGACTCTTTTTGGCCACATTTTTAGAAGTTTTTTGTGACACTATATCTTCAACCAATACACAAGCATGCTCAGCAAGTTGTCTACAGTATCCAAAAAGCAGAAAACTTTGTCCAGCAAAAAGTAAGCAGAAAGCTAACAAGCATCAAATTATTATCCCACAAGATGTGTGGATTCACCAAGTCCACGTGTCCATTCTTGTGAGGCCCCACCTAAAAGGGAAGAACTCATGCTGGAGGTTGCTCAGACTCTCACATTGCATGGGTTAAGAAGTAAGACAATTACATTTTCACATACCGTACCATTTTTTGAAGACAAATACTATAAACACAATAAATCCACTTCAAAAGAAAGTAGGCACAGTACGTCACCAAATGTTCCAGGATTCCCCCCAAGCATAATCCAGTCCTTTGAAAACATCAACTGTTTTACAGTTGCTTCATATTGCCTAAACCATTATTTAGTAAGAAGTTGCATACTGTAATTCAACACAAAAGTCTCCCAGTTTAGTCTGATCTGCACAAAGCATTTTCTCACTTACTTTGGACATAAGCCCTTTACGGAAACTCACACAGAGCCTCATGCTTTCCCCAACAGACTCATCTCAGATTTTGGATTTAAGTAGTTTTTACTTCAGTCTGCTTCAAAAATGGTAATACTTTTAATATTACACTAAAAATAAAGTCAAAGCAAACTAAGAAACAATCTTTATATAGAAGGCTACATATTATTACGTAAAGCAACCAGAAAAGGAGAAAAATTAAAACTTTGTAAGTAATAAAACGATCACATGACAAAGGACTCAGCACAGTAGAGCTGTCTGTATGAGTCCCAACACTACTTACTGCACAAACTGCAGGTTCACTGCTACACTTTGAGGTATTAACTTCAAAAGGACAGTTAACTTCCACCATAAATCCTAAATTGAGTAGTTCTTTCTAGTAAACCCCAAATATACTTTCTACTCTATCAATTACCTCAAGTGAAGCAAAAAAAAAAAAAAAAAAAAAAAAAAAAAGATGTTGACACAGGACACAGATTACTGTAATGTGTTAATTCAATTGATCAATTGAAGGATGAAATGAAGAAAGATTAGAAAAATACAAACACTAGTCATGGTAGCCCCTGCTAGGTGTACCACTGCTCGGTGTAACTCTGTTTCCTATCACATGATTGCCTATGCAGTACTAATAACATCATCACCTTTATCTTGCTCAATTGCTATCGTTACTTTTCTTTCCCTGAGAATGCTGATCCACACATATGATAAGCAGTGCATAACCACAAACCAATGAGTTGCCCTCCCTTGTCCTTCAGTGATTTTAACATAGACAGTTAATGTTAGGAGAATAAAATATCTTATTTTTAAAGAGAGATGTTTAGCTATCTCACAAACTTGTTTTGCAAAAAGAAATCTGATCCCACAAAATCTAGCTAACATTTATGTTCTTCATGCAGGCAGTTAGGAATTGTAGGATTATAGTATCACAGAATCATTAAGGTTGGAAAGGACCTCTGAGATCATCTATTCCAAATACTCACCTACCACCCATATTACCCACTAAACCATGTTCCTCAGTACCACCAAATCCAAGTATCTGCACAAATCCATTTAATTATCTCAAGCGCTTAATATTTTGCTATCTGCATTCATTCTAACATTCACATGTACATACTTTTGACAGTGCTGTGAGTGATACATAAAACTCCACACATGCATACCTGAACGTACATACAGTGTCGGAGTTTAGTCTTGTGCTGTTACTGCTGCTGTAACTTCTGCTTTGGTAACAGAAACAAAAATACTACCTCTCCTCCTCAAATACTTTCCAAGACCAAAGCAAACCACTGAAAAATGACAAGAGAACAACTTTCCAGATTCACTAAAATCACACACATCATAATTACTCAGATTAATATACGTCCATTGTCCCAGAAGCAGTCAAAGGAAGGCATCAACCATTTTACCTTTAAAAATCCTAATTACTTCAGCGTATTAGATGTGCAAATTCTAATTTCAACCACAGCATGATTTTCGCCAAATATTTAATTACTTAAATTCAAGTTAAGCAAACATATGAAAACACATCATGCAGTATTAGAAGATATAAAATTGGGCTGTTGATCATGTACATCTCCACTTATCTCTAAATACTTAGTGATATCCATCTTGATATTAGTGCATTACTTCAGACTTTAGTCAAAATTAAGAGCATTAAAAACACTGAGATCATCAAAACTCACGCAGTAAAAATGGTTTTAGTGAACTAAATGATTCAATTTACATGGACATTATGACACTGTTCTCTGGTTGTCTTCTTTATTTGTTTCTACTTCCATAACCATTACACTGACAAGTTATTCAACTAAAAAATATAAAAAATATAAGTGTGATTAAAGTGTAATTTGAGCATAACATCTCCGATAAACACACACTTTTTTTCCCCACAACAAGACAAATTAGTAGCACATCTGGTTACATCTCCTAATAAGAAAAGAGAGATAAATATATGACACAAAGACATAAAAAGTAAGGTATTTATATGGTCCCCACATTTTCCTAATTGTAAGTATTGGGGGAAAAAAAAAACAACACCTTACTATAGTATCTGAGAAGTGTCTGTTACTGATGTTTGTTGTGCAAACCAAGAGTATTCAAGTGGATAGCTGACCCCACATGCACAGTCATTAAAACATGTGATAAGCATGCATGTGCTTCTTTTCTCTGCAGAAAAGCAGAGTTTTATTTAAAATTATTCTGGACTCTTGCTCACACTGGTCCTTCAGATGACAAATACAGTAAAAAGGATATTCTTATGAACATAATTACACAGAGCATATAATTCTTCTCCCCATTTCAAATACAGATCCTCAAGAAATGAGCAAGACAAAATGATGTGAGAAAAATACCTGGAGAATCATATCCATCTTACAGAAAGAATAAGAGTCAAACCACGCAGTCAATTACAGGGAAGACAAAGCAGAACAGCCATGATGGCTCACTAAGCAAAGCTCATAGAAATATGATTATGACATCTTCACAATTTTGGAAAAAATACAACAGTTACAAAGAGCATTCTTTGACCAAGCAATATGATGCTATTTGAAGGAGCAAATTCTCAGCTGCAACAGGCTTTTTCAGCATAATCACAACCATTTCCTATACCTTTTTCATCAGCAACAAGCAAAAGCCTTCATGCTGTGCTTGTACAAAGCTAGGTCGTTTGGTCATGCTCACTACTTTCATAACTTCTTGTTTTTGTTGCTCTCATTTAAACAAAAGCATAGCACTTCATCTGTGCCAACTTATAGAATTTAATTCCAAATTATCAGGTCCAGCTAGCCAGGCCAACACAATAACCACTTAAACAGTGAAGTCATAGGTTCAAGTTCTTGGTTTTTTTGTTTGTTTGTTCTGTTTTGTTGGTTTTGTTTTTTTTTTTTAAACACAAAAGCTCATCTTCTATTTCAATTGCAATTCATTTAGCTACTGGCCTTGAGATTTCACAGGTACTTTCACAATATGCTGGGAACATCTGAAGATTCACTGATAAAGAGAGAATCTGTCACAGTGTAAATGTACCCTTTCAATCCACAGTGCCTTCATTTGTGAACCTTGAGAGTCTGTGGTCCAAACTACAATGGAGATTTAGAAAGGAGAGAGCACTTCCATATCTTCTAATAAAAAGTAATAAGTGACTACATTTACGAGACAGTTCAGAGGCTTATGTCCCAAAGTACACGTGGTAAACATCACTGCAATCTGAAAGAAGGCAAATGTGGCTCACCAAGGGGAAGAGTTGAAAAGAAAACTCAGCTTTTGTGAATGGAAATGGAGACCATTTGGAATGCAAACCTAATACATCACTGAATATGACAGTAAAAAATTGGTAATGGTACAATTTCGGCCTGAGCATATTTGGCAAGTCATCTCCGGTAGCATTCTGAAATGACAAGCTGCAAATGAGACAAACAAATAAGAAGGAAGCTCCTAAGAACTGGTTTGTTTTTCCCAACTCAGTCCAGTTATAAGGAGATGATTCAAATTATTCAGCAGATGGTTCAGATGTAACAGCTTGGTAGAATTGGGACAAGGCTAATTAGAGCACTGTGCCTATCCCTTTTCTTCTTTGCTTTAATTCCCAGATCATTCCCTCCTCCCACCCATAGAGCATTTCCATCCTCTCAGTGGTGAGAAAAATCATCTTAGACCTTTGCAATGCTCTTTTGCAGCAACATGCAGTGAAGAACTCCTGCAGAATAAGCATGAGATTTAGCTAAATGGGAAGCCAGTGGGTAATGCTTCCCTTCTTGGCAGGCATACTATGCTTTCTGCCTGTCTCTCAGGGCAACTGCTTTTTTTTAAAGTATTCTCAGCTGTTAATAGTTAAAAGCACCTGGAAGTACTCTATGAACGTACATGTAAACTGACATCTATGTGTGAACTGTTGCCTAAAATGAAAACATACAAATATGAGACAGGACTGAAGCCAAGATATTTCACATACATACTGAGATCAGAAAGCTAAACACAAGGTCTTTGTGATCCCACAATGTAAGTAGTGGCTCCACACGGAACAAGCAAGATAGTGGGCAGAGCTGTAAGGAGAGGCAAGATTCTGTCCCTCAGGTAGCTGTTGCATTCCCAGAAGCATGGACTTAGACAGCCTGACAAGA